ATATGATGAGGTTCAACAGTACGATTTGTCCAGCTATGTCGAAGAAGAAAGTGTCGGCGATAAAGAGATTTAAAGAGATGAAGTTTTCGTAATCCTGGCAGACCTAATTCGGGATTTGGTACCGCCAATGCAGCAGCAGAAGCAGCGCTTAGTGGGCCTTCAGATTTATGAAATCTCGATGCCGGTTCTAACACCTTGGTTGAAACATCATTACCTGTCGCTCTTCTCTTCACGCGTTCTGATCCCGAATTTCCAGTAGTTCGCTTTCTTTTAATGGTAGCCCGAGGTCTTCTTAGTGAATCAATCTTGCTGCTACTACCTGGCGTGGTTACTTCCACATTGAGTGGTTTGTCTTTACTACTCAAATCCATTTCGTAACCATCCGGTCCATAAGGATCTTGCCATGCCCAACCCTGTCGTATTGCCCGCTCGAGTTCTTCTGGTTGAAGTGTGAAACCATCACGATCAAGGAGTTCTTTCCATCCAGTCTCGTTCGAGTCAATAACGTTTCTCCAACGCTTCGAAACTTGTGCGGCACGACAAAGGTCTTTATGGTCCAGGTAACTCAAGATGTGTAGGCTTAATTCAGCAGGAAGTTCATCAAGGAAATCGCACATCAAAGCAGGATTTACGAAACCCGCAACAGCCCGTAAGGTTTTCTTGGAGCACCTTCTACTAAGCTGATACATCACTAGGGCCTTCAAGTCGCTTGGCATCGCATCGAAAGTATCCAGCATAGAACCAATCTCCATGACGGTAGAAATCTGTGAATGTAAACCTGTAGGTTTGATATGCCGATCTCGAGTCGTACTTGACTGAGCTACCTGAATAGCGTACTCATCTAATGTCTCCTGACTGTCGCCTGTATCATCGTTGTCAAATTCTGGAGAGGTTGGAGTAGGCGAAAGACCAGGACTAGGTAGGCTTGCGTTTTGAGCAATTGCAGTATTTAAATGTGGGCGCTGGCCTTGTGCGAAGTTTGTATTAAGACCGGACGACTCAAGATCAGATTCTGCAATTGGTGGTGTAGCAACTGCGTTATTAAACGTTTCTTCACTGACACTTTCCGAATGACTTTCTGAATTCTCGAACGAATCATTTTGGCTTAGACCGGATTGAGGGGTGTATGCATTGGTTGGAAATCGAGAGCTTGATGAAGGAATAACTCTTGAAGATAACTCTATTTCGGACAAATCAGGAGTTACTGGCAATTCAGGTAAGTGCATACCAAGACCAAGGTTTCGACGTCGGATTTCGGGTTGAGCAGTCGAGCCTACATTTTTAACCTCATTATTGGGAGCTTCTGGTGCTTGTGAACTGCTGGGTCTGCTGGCGGGTCGATAGTCGGATGTTCCTTTCGATTTCGAACACCTTCTCAAGTTGCTACTTTCTGCATCCAGCTTAATCATTCTGTCTGTTCTAGCCAATCCATCTTTGAACTGTTCACGATTCTCTTTTGATCGACAGCGCGAAAGGGAATTGTGAAGAGATTCGATTTGTGAATTCTGGAGATTTTCAAAGATTAGTAATGTAGATCTCAAAAAAGCGTACAGGAAAATGAAAATGTTCGAACCTCGTGCATAATACTTCGTAAATTATCTTCCTCATACTCCATTTGTCGTCCATCAATTTCGTATGAAAACCTAGTAAGTTCAGCAGGAGTTGGTTTGAATGCCAAAGGATATTCCTTTGCGTCAAGGCTATCGAGTGGTCGAGGATTTTGGAAGAGTAGTGGAGGATATGATCGCTTGGTTGTAGTGGTTGTGGTCACGGTTTTCGTTTCTATAATATCTTCCAACTCAACTTGCAATCTCGATGCATGTCCCACTGTATCGTCTCCGTCTTGCCATCCTAGAGAAACGGTCTGACTTGGATGTCGAGTCTCGACACTATGCTGCAACAACTTCGAATTCGAAATGAACGGACTCGGAGAGGCGTCTGATTTGAATTTTGGTGTTCCCGGCATTTGAGTACTTTGGGAAAGGGTTCGATGTTTACTCTGAGGTCTATGGGGAGGATCCATTTCGTTGGAATTCGAGTGCTCAGATGAGTTCGAGACTTTAAGCAAAAGTTCTAGCCTGCCCCTCTCCAGTAAGCCGTACGCGTTCCCAATATGAGGCTGACCACACGCGAGTGTATCGCAACTTTAAAGCAACCCCTAGTTTCCTATGATTCCAATGATAACATAGCCAAATTAAACGACGTTGAAAAGTATTATCGTGGTCGTGGTGGGGGTATTTGAGATATGGAATCGACACGGATGACAGACAATCTGCAGAGTATGAAATCGGGGGCAACGTGGAAGGAGAACCGTGGTGAGACAATATGAAGTTGGAGAGTGGAGACTATTATATTACTGCAAATAAAGAGAAAGAGAGAGAGAGAGAGAGAGAGAATGTACAAGAGAAGGGGAGAAATAAGTCCTTTTCTGTGAGAGAGAAATGAAGTACTGCGAAGATTTATCTCAGCGCGTGTGTGTGTACTGGTGGTGGTGGTGGTGGTGGTGAATGGAAAGTGGAAGGTGGAGATGGATCGGTTCGTGTGTGGTTTGTTTCGCCGGGTTTAAACTTTTTTTTTTGATTAAGCGGTTCTGGACAAGAATGCTCATCCATTCGTTGCCTTCACCGTCCGTACCGTACAATGGCGACAAATACCTAGGTAGCTAGGAGGGAGGGAGGTAGGTACCCAGGTACTACTCAGCTGCGTACTGACTGTATGTGATATTGACTGCATGTAATATTCTACACAGGCAGGACAGGAAGGCGGAGTCAGCGAAATGGAACGGCAACATCACATTCTCACTCATTCCAATATATTTCTATTTAAGATTACATCTTGACACGGAGTACATACTACCAAGATATCTATATCCATAAAAAAATGGGGTCCTCATGAATCTTATCATCTTCTTGAAATATTACTTGTACTTACTTTACTGTACAGTATCGTCGCCACAATGCCTCACGATCTACCTCTATTCATACTCGGGTTTCCGCGCCCCTTGTTGTAACGAGAAAGAGGCAAGATTTTCTGTCTGATGTCTTCTATATGTACATACGATAGACCACACACTGTTACACACCAAGGTGTTAATGAATGGGCAATGAAATATCGACATTTTCTTTCTTTCTTTCTCTCTTTCTTTCTTTCCTTCCTTCTTTGCTTGGTACAATCGAAAAAAGGAGATCTTCTAGTTGGAGAACTTCTGTGTATCTACCTGAGGCGAGCCCAACGTACTTTGAAAATATCTATGATATCTATGATATCTATGATATCTATGATATCTATGATATCTATGATATCTATGATGATTTTCATGGTAAATCATCATAATCTGAATTTGCCATCTCAAATGACTCGATTTTTAAGTAAGCAAGTAAGGTTATGTAGAACTCCGCGCGATAAAACCTTACAATACGTGCCGAGCCCGCCACAAGAGGGATTATACAACACTGAGTATTCCGTACCTAGGGATGTAAGCTTACAAGTATACAACAACGCATTCCCCTCCGTCTTCAGGTCATGAGGTCTGTCTGTAAGTGCTTCATATATTTACCAAATGGATAATCCAATAGCTATCAAGGTAGATGGGCATCAAATGGTTGATATTGATGTGGCTCTCAGCCAGAAATTATTTTATTACAAATGTTCGGCCTCCACAGAAGGAGCCCCAGAGGCCCAGGGGAGCGTCCATTTAGCTGATGTATCAATCGATCTAATGATACCATGAGCGTCGAGCCGTTAAAGTTTCATATGTCGAAGTAAAAGGCTGGTATGGAATATTGTGTGTGAACTCTGCCGAGAGTCGTTCAAAGGCACCGGGTAGATGAGAGGAACTCATTGGATTCTACAAGTGCTAGAATGAGTGGTTCCCAAAACAATATCAAATGGAAGCGAAGTTGACGAACCGAACGAGGTTATACTCGAGAAAAATGGCAAGATGATTCAGATACCTAGTTCGCATGACATTCCAAGACCAAGTGTTGTATGGTGGCTGTGGGAAAATGAATCTCTGGATGAATGATTTGGAAATGCAAGCTATCATTTAGAATTTGAAGAACTCATAGGTCCCCCAAAATAAAAGGTAGCCGCATATCTACCCTGCCAGTAGGTGAAAGGTATGAAACGTGGAACTGTTTAGTTGATTTGGTAGAAGCAAAGGATTGACTGTGTTAAGATTCATTTGCTGACCGATTCTTGGGCACAACTACCTATTGATTTTGTCGCCATCGATCATGGATATCAAGGTCAGAGATTGATACCGTGTCACAGTATACACTTCACGAAGCTCTAATTAGCAATTTGTATACTAGGCAGGTAGTAAGTATTTGGAAGATTTGTAAGAATCTCAGCAAATTGTTGAGATATGAGGATTCATTTCTTGTCACTCCGATTCCTCAAATATCTACCAGGAGTAATTGGACTGGACTGGGCAACACTCAGTTCATCTCAGATTCTGGTTACCATTTGGGGTGAGGGTCGAGGGGAGGTCGAGAGGGAGGTCGAAAAGAGTGAGGGGCGCGCGCCTTCCCTTTCCGTCTACATGTAGGTAACTTCCTATCATATGGATACTACCGATCTACCTGCTTCTCCCCTCATTTCCTTAGTCATTCTCTTCTCCGTCAACTTCACTCAAACTCTTTCACTTTCACTTTCAATCAATTATTCCCATCCTCATTCATCCAAACGTTGAATTGAATGTCATCTTTGATTGAATTTCCCATCATCGTATATTGTCTTTTCCGTACAAAGTATCAATCCACGGACGGTTACTTAGTATTCACACATTTACTCGGCACGATTCTCTTCTTACTCATCGCCTTGATTTCCATTTTCCCAGCTTTTCGTGAGGGGATTCTAGGCTTCAGCAAGGCCCAGAGCTTCAATGAACGGCTGAATTGTGATTGATTGAAAGTTGAATTACACCTTCAACTTGTCTTTTGTACAACTCTCTCCATCCTTAATTCTCCAAAAAATCGTCCATATCAGCGCGCTTCGTCATGCCACCAAAGCTAATCCCACATCCTGATCGTTCTGTCCGTGTCAAACCAGTGGTAAAACCACAAACGAAGACGAAGCAGAAGGGTAAGGGCAAGGCGAAGGCGCCTGTGGAAGCTCCTAAAACAGTACAAGAACTTGTACTCAACCAACAACAAAGTTTCGAGTTGGTTAAGATTGGTGTCAATGCTGCTGTGTGTATCTTGGGCTCCTTTTACTTCTGTGTCCGCTAATCGATGCTTCTCAGGTCAGCCAGTTTGTCTTTGGTAGGAAATTCTTTCCGAGTAATTGCTACAAGACCCGAATCTACAATGCATCCGATCCAAACCTTACCTACGAAACTTTTATCAACGGAGCAAACATCCCTAGGAACTTCAACTTGAATGAAGCTGGTGATGAAATTGTTTCCTTCAATTCCGTTGTGCGAGGAACGGGCCACCCTGGCGCAGAAAAACTTCTCGATTGGCTGGTATGTTGCCATATTCTAGTCTCTTGTGTAGTGGTTAACTAATCCACAATCAGGAGTTCGGAGTTGGAGATGGTGTAAACGATAAATGTTTGGCAAAATTCCAACTTTCTGTATATCGAAAAGAAGTCGTCCCTGAACAGCTCGTTGAAGCATTCACCATAAATTTTACTTACAAAGATGTTGAAAAGAACCCCTATGTTCAAATTTCTGCTTCTTTGTCGAACAGGAATGGAAATACCATCAATTTAGGATTGGCACAGGAGGGACTAAGGGACTTGATTCGACAAGTTATGAATAGTTCTCGAAATGTTCAAGGCCAATCGGGTGAGTTCATACCATCAAGTATTACTTTACATCCGCTAAATATAAATATAGTTGGACGCAAAGTGAGTATGCAATTGCTGTACAATGACAATGCGCGCCCTAAGCATGAATATCGAGGATTCCGTGCTGCCTCGACATCTCAGATACTTCCTGATGGTTGTGGAATTCTCATGGGTCAGACAAGCAACGGTATTCATGGGTATAACGTTGCGATATCCATGACTCTATAACCCTTCTAACTTTTATAGACTTGAGATAAAGTACTATGATGCCCCAGTCATCGATAACCACTTTTCAAAAGCAACAGTATTGAATGATGCGACGGTAGCCTCTAATAAAAAACTTTTCGCAGCGGTCAGAGGTCTTAAATCCACAGCACCACTGGCAAATGTGATTGTCGATGACAATAGTCAGTCTTCCTTGCGACATAGTCAATTATCACAGAGCGTTGATACGCAGCAGAGCACAATGCAATGGATAAACCAGATTGTAGGTTATTACCGGTACATAGAATATTTTATTTGGTCAATATACTAATTCGACTACGAATTAAGGGACACGGAAAAGGATCTGGCGACACGGACACACAACCGATACCCGCCCCGCCAACCACCTTTGGAAAGCATACGTCATTTTATGAATCAGAAGAGCTCAATGGTAAAAGAGTTGGAGAAGTGTCGGAAGAAGAGGAAGAGGAGGAGGTACGGTGCCAGTGTCTTAATTATGATGACCGTGAGAATTTGGTATGACAGCCTTCATCTTCGTTTGCACACTCTAATTTGAAGAAAGATTCAATGTGAAAAGTGTAGAAACTTTTGCCACAGTCAGTGCTATGGCTATAGCAGGGGAAGTGTCAGCGCGAATTTCGAGTGCTATGAGTGCCTTTTAGAAGAGTCGGAACCAGAGATTCTTTTTCAGAAGATGTACCCCCTATGTGGCCGCAGACGCATGGTGTATTATCTTGAACAGAATGGTTTCAATGATATGGAAGGTCTTTGCCAGTACATGAGTAGGTTTGCTTCAACGAACATTCTTACAGCACTAATCACGACTCTAGATTGGAACTTGGAAAAGACGCAGGGAGAATTTGAGTCTTTGAAAACCGAAGGTATCATTAAGAAATGTCCAAAGTCTTCTAAGGAGCCATTTCGATTCTCCGACCTCAAGAAGCTTCGAATGGAATTGTTTGATCCATCTAAACACATTTCTCATACCAAACCTGTGGGTTCTTCTTCGTCCTAGCGAATGAAAAGTTCTAATGCAATATAGTTTGCTACAGCAGTTCCAAACCCCGATTTGACCCATAAATCCTTAGACCAGACCCAACTTACACCAGTTGCTCGTCGTCTTCGTCAACCTGAAGGTTCAATCAGAAGTGGCTTGCGAAGTGAAGGAAGCAGTACTCAGACCCCGAGTTCATGGAGAAGCTTGCATAACGAGACATTGCGAAGATCACCAAGAAGACTTGCTCAAACAACCCCTCAACAACCCAACAAACGTACTGGCGATGAAGGATTGGATAGTGCTCGCAAGAGAATGCGATGTGCTCTATCAGCGACTAGTCCCTTCAGTCTCAGATCAAATAGTTCGCATTAGTTTGCTACCGAGAAGTCGGGCAGAAAGATAGGCACAATAATCATATTGGCTGATGCTCGTGATGATGTTTCGGGAGAGTATGAAATGTTTTATTATTGATTGATAGTTCTTTGCTAGCTTGAGCACTATTTCATGTAGATTAGCTTTGCATTTGGTCATCACAACATAAATCAGTTTCCTATGTGTAATCCTATACGTATACAAGAAAATAATTCCTGTACATTTTATCTCATCTGACTTCCTTGAGATTTCATACATAAGGAGATGTTTATGTAGGTTGTACTTGTGATTCTAATTCGTCTTGTAAAAAACAGTTTTGACTAAGTTACTAAGCTAAGTGTAGTGATTTGTTAGGAGGTAATGGAGGTTGGGTAAATGTTTGTAACGTGTGTAACATGTGGTATTATGGTTGCTTGTTGTCGTGAAACGAATGAGGTTTCAAGTGTCGGACTAGGAAGGGCACGTAGGTCGATCACGAAATATGGATGGGATAAAGAGTACGAGATGAAATAGCAAGTTAGGTATGAAGAGATACAATACTAACGATGAGATAGGGTGATATAGGATGAGATGGAGAGAAATTTTAGTATGATGTTAATCAGATTCATGGAAGATCAGATGTTATGATGTTATGATGTTATCAGTCGATCAGGATCTCGGTGGTTTCTGGTACCTGAATTAGTGTTGGGTGCAAGTGGAATGAAGCGTGGGAAACATGTGGGAATGAGTTTTAGTGCTCGTGCTAGTGCTGGTGGTGGTGTTCGGAGTCGGTGTCGGTGTCGGTGTTCGCCGTTTAGAGTTTAGGGTCTAGATGGGATTGGATTGGAAAAAGAAGGAAGAATTGGTGAATGGCAAAAATGGAAAATGGAAGGTTGAGAAAAAGAAAAAGAAAAAAAGAAAAGATGTACGGAGTATGGATTTTCAGGGTACTGTTTTTAGAAATTGAAATGGAAAAAAAAGGAATTATACACTAGGTGCGTGATCGGGTAGTTTGTGATGGGGAAAAAAGCAATATTGATCTCCTGTGACGGCAGATCAAAATGACGGGCAGGAGTTCTGCTTGTCATTCGCTTTCTTGCTTTCTTGCTTGCTTGCTTGCTGGATTACTTGCTGGATTACTTTCTTTTTCCTTCTCTCGAACCGTCAGGTTGGAAAAGAAAAGAGTGGGAATAGGTGCGAGCGTCACAGCGTGGAATGATTGGAATGTGTGAAATGCTTCTGGTGTGTTTTGAAGGGATGGACCTTGGATATGGATGGGTTTAGGCTGAGACTATTTGAAATGCTATGAACGCATTTTTGATGGATTTAGCTTTGGGCGTTTTCTCTTTTCTTTTGGGGTTTAGTCTTGGGATCACGGGTGGATGTGTACGATAAGTAGTTTGTTGGTGTGTTGGTGTGTTCTAGTGTTCGTAGACAGGCTCGGTAGATAGATTTTTGATAGACTGTAGTAGATCAAGCTGGGTCTGAAGGGTTGAGAGTCCCAATTCAAGGGATCAAATGTTGCCTGTCCTGTAAAAGAGGCTCGTGACTTGTGATGTGATTTGGCGTGATAGAAAATAGAGTCCAAAGAGGGTTCGCGCTGTGATATCTATCTAGAGGATTGGAAGGAAGGAGATCACAAATGGTCGTATACGTCTCTTTCTCACCATGTGAGACTTTTCGGATGGAGTGAGTGACAGGGGTGAGAAAGGGGGTGGTTCTTGAGCTGTATTCACGTACGATTCACCTGGCTACTTACTACTGGGACCTCGTACTATACTGTACGTGCAGTGAGGGTACATGTATGTTTGCGGGGAACTCTTTAATCTCGAGACCTTGAGATTGGAATTGGGGATCGGATGCAAGAGGCTTGGGGGTATGTTGGGGAATGTGCACTCCCTGATTCACACACACATGCATGCACACGTGCACACTAGGGGAATGGGAAGAGGGCAATGGGGATTCTTCACAACTGTATCTGCACATTGGATGTAGATAGAATCGATTGTAGCCTACGGTAAAATATAGTGCGAGATGGTGACTTGGTGAGGAGCTTATACTATAGGTCGATGGACAGGAATTGATTTATTTGAGTTGTCGAATCAAGACTTCTTGATGGGATACGATTGATTGATTGATTGATGGATGGATGGATGGATGGATGGATGGATGGATGGATGGATGGATGGATGGATGGATGAAATGAGGATGAAGGGATGAAGTTAGATAGATCAATAGTTTTGATGGATTATTTTAGATCAGATGAATTCGTTTAATTTTAGAGTTGAGAATCACAGTCAGTTCAGGGTCGTTTGTGGCGGCGAGGGAAGGCGAAAACACTGAATCGTGCCAATCCAATGGATCTGTGATAAAAGAAAGTAGTGGGCAATAGTGAATACAGATTATAATTGCAGTATATTACTTTTGTTAATGGAGTGATATCTTCTTTTGAAGTTTTACATGGTTTCAGCTTTTTGAATGGGATGGGATGGATGGAATTTACCCCTTCATGAATCATGGTGTTAACGAGATCTCATCAATGATACTGTACGACTAGTACCCGACGCGATACAGAGTACATGCTTCGTACAACATGAGGTGGCATATCGTAGGGAAGCAGAAAGTCCCATCAATCTGCGTGAAGCCGTCAGTACCAAGATAGAATTCGTAATTTCGTACTACATGTAACATAATATACGTAACCATCCAAGTCAAACCCTCTCGAATCCAATTCTCAGCCACATCTTCCTCCTACTCCGTATATGTAGTTTTACCTCCGTGGTTTATTTGGCCAGATAGGCTCGTGAGAAAAATCTTCATGCATGCATTCCTAGATGTCACCTAGAACACTTCCGTGGTCTAAAGCGGACGGGCCGTCAAGTCCACCATCCAACAGATCTCAACATGTGAAGCATAATCTTTAGAATCTTTAGAATCTTTAGAATCTCAGAATCTTCAAGAGTTTCCGGCATCCGAATTCTCATCAATCACCTACCAGGTAGTCCTCCGTCCGGCGTACATGTTCGTCCAGAGGTGGATTCATACCAAACTTTCTACCCTCGCAGCAGACCAGATGATTCGACTGTTTTGAGAATTTAAACCACACATCATCAATGATCATGTACAATCCCAGCAATCCCAGTCTTTTTGAATCGTCAACTATGGAGTCCTCTCCGTACTTGGTACTTTAATCCCTTGGACTTGGGAGCCACTGGGAGCTTGGTAAGTATTTATCCTGGTAAATGGTTCCTCAATTATCGCGCAGGGTCCATTCCATATTGATCAAGGATGGGCCTTTATGGAGATTACGATTTGACACGACCAAATTCAATTTCATCCTACTAACCCGTAAGTTGTAACATCCATCTTCCTAGATGCTTTTTTTTTTGATTGTAATGAAATAATGAAATTTCCGAGAAAGACTGGGAATCTTTTCTCTCTTGTTTTGTTATCTGTTTCCTTGCATTTCTGAACTTTAGACCATTGCATCCATCTCAAGCGGTGTCGAATGTTGTCCATCTCTTTCACATCTTTCTTCAACGACTTCATGATAAATATATAGCGAGCGAGTACTTTGGATTGTAAGCCTTGTCAGCAATCGCATCCCATCACATCACAGACACACACATACATACATATATATACAATATATACACACCGACTGTATAACGAACCCTGGTATCAAGCTTGCTTAGCGGAATTCAAAGCCCCTCCCAATTAATTCACGATCCAAAGCCACGATGCTCATTGAAAAACGGTAACGGCGGTTCAATTTGATAACAGCACAGCGCCTGCATGTGCGCTGCACACGCAATTGGGATACTTCTGGAATATAACTACCTAGTACATATAGCTTAGGCCTTGGAGCTTGACAAGAGATACCGAGGTCGACCATCTCTACGAATACATAACATCTACCTACCAGCCATTTTCCGATCCATTGAAGCTTCATCAACATGGGACGAACTTCAAAATTCTCATTTCCCATTCCTGGGCGCAAGCGTAGTTCAAGTAGAGAACAGGCATATCAAGTCCCTCCACCACCATCCAAGATATCTTCAGGGAACTTATCAAAAGCCGAACAAATTCTGGGAACTGGCACTATCGAATCTGGGGATTGGAGGAGGCCTGGATCTAGATCGAGTCGAATTAGTATTTCTATATCAGAATCAACACATTCGACGGTCCAGGATGGTCATGATTATGATCAATGGGATAGGGAATCGGGCGTTTTTCCTAGGCAAACAAATTTGAGGGGACAGGCTTCATCTAATGCATTGGGTCAGCGTTTTGGAGAAGATATGGCTACGGAAACTTCTAGTACAACACATCGATTGAGAAATGAAAATTCTACATCTACCTTGAAATCATATTATGATCGACAAAAGTTACCGGCTGCGATATCACAACAAACTTCTGCATCATCTGCACGAGATATGGCCCTTCGAAAAGGGCTTACACCAGTTGTCAGTAGGAGTCCGCTTTTACATGTCGATTCCGTGGATCCTTGGGATCAAGCCGGTCAAAGTCTATCGAGTATGAATGATAACCATTTGGGATCACCGGAACGAAAGAAGTCAGTGAGGGCGGGTATATCTTCGTTGTTTCATCGGTCAGAAAGAAGACCTTCGGCAGCATCACAAAACTCCTACGATTCTTCCAAGCAAAGTACCTCACTTCGAAATAGACTTGTCAAAGCCGCTTCGAAAGAATCATTACAATCACAAAGGCACAATATTCTATCAACAAAGTCCAGGGACCAAAGGGAACAGAAACAAAATTATGCTAACCCCGACGACTCACATGATTACTATGAACAATCAACCAGAAATGCTCATATGAAGGCCATACCAGAATCAAACGTCCCGGAAACATTTAATCTATTCCCCAGCACGTCGGAGAATAGTAATAGTCGTCAACCAGGGTCACTAAATTCAGAAAAACGGGAAGGGCATCGGAGATTGGAAGATTTACATTCTAGCTCTGGAGAAAAGGAAGCATTTTCGTGGAAAAACGTACGTTCGAATAAGAATGGAAATTTCCGCAGCAGTATGATTTCTCAGAGCACAGGTCATTCTAGCTTGGGTATATCCAGTACCGGAAGCATATCCAGTCATAACACCAAAACGTCAAGACAAACCGGGGGAAGTGTCTTCTCGAGTGCGGATCTACAACAAAGCAGTGTATTGTCATTATCATCTGATTCGGAAGAAGATTTATCTGACGCTGAACCATCGAAATCCCGTGATAACATATCCATTGGAAAAGCTCCTTCACATGCCGAGAGCGAAATAATTCCTCCTGCACTCCAAAATCGCCTAAGTACCACGAAAAATCTTTCCAGAAGACCTTCAGCAATGAAAACCTCACCATCCACGAGGAAGACAAGTGAACAATCAAACGCGTTTTTGACCATTCCGGAACCGAATGGAGGAGTATCTAAATGGCCAATGCCACCAAGTATTACAAGGCAAGATTCTATAAATTCACAAGAGTCTGGGCCAACTTCACATCTCAAGCCCAAAAAATACGTCCCACAACAACAGCAACAACCAACACCGCCATTATCACCCAAAGAAACTGATGCCGAAACGGATTCTATTCATACAACATCTAGTGGTCGCATGATGCAAGTTACTCAACAAGAAGAAGCACTTCTTGAAGCACTACGTCAAAAGAGAGCACGCATGAGAGAAAAGATTATTGAAGAACATCAAGCGGAAGGTGGAGTAAGTAGATCACCGCCGAGGTCGACGGGGAATAGAGCTTCATCAAGATTCTCGAAAGCGAGTACGGCGAG